GTTTGAAGAATAAATATATGATTCTCTCTCCTACTGCGCGTTTCGAGGAACGAGAGGTCAACGGCGTAACGACGCCACCCGCCATTTTAAGGACGATCCTTTAAAGCTATAACGCACGGTAGACGACCGTAAGAACGAAGCCAGTACCTATACAAACCAACTATCGCCAGCTGGCACGTAAAATGTAGCGCCTCTGGCAATGCGAATATTTAACAACGTGTGCGTTTAAATGAGAAAACTTAACGGCACAACGAAGACTGGGAAATTTATATCGAAAACAATAAAAATCTATTTCCCCTTCGAAGCGAACTTCCTTCTACAACTGAATTCAAACGATATTACGTTGGACCGTTTGATCGATGTACGTTTAAATATTTCACGTTCGAAAACGTCCGAGTTCAAAGCCTATAGCATAGAAATATCCTTGACATTTGTTTTTTTTCCAATATTTTACGTAGGGGATCCTGCATATTCTAAAATAGTCACAGCCTCCAAATTGTGAAAGGAACTACGCTGTAGAACTATGAATAGCAATTAGTGAAGTATTATGTAATTGCTAGATAATTTAGGTTTTAAATATGTAAGTGCATGTTAATTGTAAGGAAAGCAAAGAAAACTAGTAATACAATCATATACTGTCGCATATGATGTAGAACTTATATACACCACAATATACCCTTTTTATGTTTATATTATACACCAGTCATCTCAAGTTCGAAGAGTGGTGTTATTAAGAAATGATTTCAATAATTTTGTGAAATTATTTTCAGTAAAATATACTGCAACATACACTTTGTTTTACGATTTCGAGTATCCGCAAGTTGGGCGTCACTGCGCCACGTCACCGTTAGTTTTCACTTCTGTTTTCCTACTTCGATCTCTGCTCTTTAACAATTCTGCCTGCATTTTCGGTGCATTTATATTTCGTTTATTATACAGTTCTGCTTTATGCATGCAAATGTCCGTAGACAAAATTGAGAAGAGACACCTTTAACTTGAATCACAACGGAAGTACATTCCTTTAAAGATAGTATACTGAATTCATTCGACGTGTATGCTCAAGTTTGTTTTGTACTTTTCGCGAGGTATTCACAAAGACCAAATAATATTCGGAATACAGAGAACCTTTTAATAATATATCTCCATACGTTTCTAAGCGACATTACCTCTTAATTTCTATTGAACTTCTGTTAATAGGAAGGTAACGTTTATGAACTCTGAATTATTCTTAAAAAGCACGAAATAATTTAAAAGTGGACTTAAATTGTCTGATAGAACTCTTTAGTGCTAGATTTCTTTTAAAAACACTTAAATACGGAATGAATACAGAGTGCAAAGTAAACAGTAGCAATTCCAAGAAAGAGAATATCGTAGAAAATGTTAGGAAATCAATTTACAAAAGTTATTTGTCCGCTTTCTTTTCCTGACGTACAAAAGGCGTGCCCCATGGACTAAGGATCCCCGATTTGAGCACCACTGTCGAACAATAACTTCGTGCCGCTGCGAGCTCTCAAAATGGCTGTCCTCAGCTATTATTACTTCGGGGAAAAAACAAATGACGGCGCGCTCACGCTACGAGGAGAGGAGAGACAGAGCCAAGGCTCTTCGTATATCGCACGCCGTGTCTACGCTTGTGTATGTACATGAAGTGTGGGTGTGTATACGTACACGTACATAGATATATGTGCGTGCAGGATCTTCGAACTACGTACGGAGTCAAAAACATCGACGTATACACCTTACGTGTGTTCCTGAATTCCGATTTTATCAGTTTGATAAATGCCGCTCCTTTACTAGGAGAAAACATAAACAAACTGGCGAGCAACGAAAAATAATTGAACAACCATTATTTCTGTTTGTTCCGTTTGCCGGTTACAAAACATTAAATAGGATTTTGGGTAAACCTGACAGAATTATAAATCTTACAAATGTTTAAAAGTTAGGTTGCCGGTCGTAAAACCTTTGAGGGAATTATCATTGACCATGGTCAAGCTGCGGGAACAATAAAGACATTCTTCTTCCTGTCTTTAAATGTATACCTAGGGCTTTTCATAGTTTCGTTCTCAGGTCACTTCGGTTTTGGTTCGCATTGTTCACCCTTCACAGCACAATCCTCAGGAAAATTGGGAATATATATTTCTATAGGATCTAGCGGGTTCATAAATCTGTCGAAGCATCTCAAGATTTGTGCTCTCCATGTCAAAACGGCATAGTACATACATCCAGATGTACATATCCAGATGTTAAACGGAAAAGAGAGCGTAAAGTTTTGTGTATAATATGTACATATTTAGTACGTGTACTTTGGAACGGAAAAGTCACGGACTGTAAAGAGAACATTCGTAAAGACTACATTCTTGGAATTATGCAATAATTGTTAGACACAAGATTGGATTGTTTATTTTGCAGTTTTTTACTTAATGTAAGTAATTAGTGATTACTAAACATCATCATACGTACCAGACATGATACTACTTTAAAAGAAATTATTCTAAGATATGCACGAATTTGAATTAAAGACGACGATATGCTTGAATTTTGTTGAACTCTCAATGCGTATGCGTGTAGTTACGTAAGGTTGCCTTTTGTTGAAAGGCATGGTACAGTATAAAGGAGAAATGGTGTCACTCACCGTTTGAAATGCTCTCGTATGCGATCCTCTCGGATGTTTTCCGGCAGATTTCCAACCCACAGATGACGTGTCTCTCTAACCATTTTGCTCCGAACTCTTCATTTGGGATCGGATGTTGTGGTATCGTTTGGCGGCACTGTACAACGACACACAACCTCGCCCGACGCTAATCACGGCACACTCACCAACACCACCGATATCGCAATACCGCCAAGAGCGCGGATCGGCTAAAGGAAAATTTTAACTCTTTTCTCTTTGCCGGATTCTCTTGGATTGATTGGCTCAATCGATCTCCCGTGAAATCAATGCTAAGTAAATAATAGATTCGTTACAACACAGAAATTGATTATTTCCTATTATGTTCCACGAGGGGGGAAACTTTCCTCGTAGAGCTTGCGGGCACACACGCGGATAAGTAGACGAAGGAACCGTTACGTATGTATTCCACAGCGAAAGAAGGAGACTTTTTCCTTCCCACTTGGACACTCCCAATTTAATCACTGGCAACAAACAGATTATCACTAGTCACTAGCCGGAAGGTGGTGACCCCAAGCACGACGAACGATGTCGTCAGGACAGCGCCGTGGAACGATCGGCGGACAGAAGAGGGTGGCAACGAAGCTCGCGCGATCAAATTTTTGCGTCGCGACGCAGGCCGATGACAACGACGACCACGAAGAAGAAGAGGAGCAGCCTCGATAGTGGACACCACTGATGGCAACGGCTACAAGGATCAGGATCGTCGCCGAACACCACATCGTATACCACTGGATCGCGTGTATAAAGAAAGGCGGCTAATCACACGTCACACCAAGCACACCGGGCACAACGCGCGGGCGATACATTCCAACGCATATTTGCCAAGCATAATCACACTGTTGATTATGAATGCCTCCCGTTTTCTTGTCGGTACACCGACGAACAGGTTGACTGGCCAATGCGTTTTCGAACTTTCGCGTGAACCCCACTTGCAAAAAAAAAAGAAAAACAATCGCTCTACGAAACCAATTGAACCGTTGCTTTCCTTTCTGGCGAATAATAAGACGTGTTAACTCGATTTTTTATCGCGCACACGACACACTATTATTTTCTCTTTCGACTCTTCTTATTACTTTTCTTTCTTTTATTTCACTTATATTAGGGCGCGTAGTTGCTTCCTTCACATCACTGTATTATATATCACCGCTCGTACCTCGTTAATGGAATTACAAACGTCGAATAAATTTTCCGTTAAAAGCGAGGCGCGGTTTTCTCTATCTTTCTCGCGATCGAACAACTTCGACTCATGTCACGTAACGCGCGTTAACGGAACAAATTATAACGGTGGTATAATTCGTCAAACTCGATCGCTACAATACACGCTTGTATATGTACGTCTTAAACGCACTCGCTTCGTTCACTCGGGCCATGTAACGCGGATGGAGCTGGCTTCGCTCCTTCTCACTGCACTACACTACTCAGAGTGACGTCACCGTGGCGGGAGCGTAGTATGGCTCGCTGGCTAGTATCGCTGCTGTCCGGATGGTGGGGCAGACCGCGTAGGGGAACGAAACGAGTCTACCTCGAGAAGCGGCGGCTCACAATCGCGATCGTCGCCCGCCAGCCGGTGAAGTGTGCGCTCGGAGAGGGGAAACTTTTCGTGCGTCCCCGGAGGGGTAAAGAGTGTGGAGGGACTCGTTCGAATCGAAGCAAGGACAGGTAGGGAGGACTCGGGGCTCCGGGAGAGAAGGGATAACGGGTCGAACGAGCTCTAACCCGAACCCCCGAACCGCGCTCTCGTCCCTTTCGTGTCGACCCGGTGCCTATCTCTCTCTCGCATTGCTAACCTCTCTCCTCTCGATTCTTACCGTCTCTTCCCATGGGTACCCCTCCCCATCCTATCTACACCCTCTGCCCTTCTTAACGAATCTCCCCACACCCCATCCTCTTTTCTCCTCTTCTCTTCCTACTTCGTAATCTCTTCGTCCTCTTCCTCGTGCCTCCTCCGCCTTCCCCAGCCCGTCCGTCATCTTTGTCACACGTTCTATCTTTCTCTTTCCATCCCGCTCTCTTCAGGGCCGGTTTAGGGGCAGCCAATTACCCTGGGCATCCGTACTTTCTACAATACTAAGAATAAAGACGGAAAACGGTTTATTACGAAAATAAAAGTAGTTTATGCTCTCTAATCAAAGAAGTAATGATCAAACAAACGCGTTGGTTTCGATGTTTACCGGGCAGGCCGATTAAAAATGTTGTCATTGTCAAACGCTTTGTATAATATGAATACCGTGAATACATAGGAAATTATGGGGTAAGACATTCAATTTACTTTTATTTGATGTTGTGATTATGTTTCTCATTGAAACTAAATGCAAAACGTTTGAAAGACCCCTGAAAATGCTACAATTATATTGAATTTCTTTAACGTTTTCAGGCTTCATGATTAACAGATTGTGCTATACTCAGTTAATATAGTAAGTTGCTCGTCTTATTCCAAGAAATAGATTGTAACAAATGCTAGATGTATCGTGTAAACAATAAAGATAGATAGTTTATCGAAATGAATTACTGAAATGATTTCGAATGCTTGCGGTTGCATTCTTATAACATTTATGTTCATTTTTCATCATCACTGTATTCGAAGTTGGATCAAGATAAGAATTAATAAATACATAAACAACATATGCATGCATATGTATTTGTATATTAAATTTCAATACGAGCGAGGGTATCGGACTTCGTCGAGCCGGGCCTGAACTTGCTCCATCTTGTTTTCGCTAAAATCGCGTTAAGTTAAAGTCGTAGATTCATGGTGTCGATGTAACTGCGGCTGTGGTTTCACTTGATCCATCGTACATCTATGTATCTTCTCCGTTTCGTATATTCTTTCAATGATTAACAACATACTGCTCGTACGACGACGATACCGACTATCTATTTCTCGGTTAGAGTACGTCATCGGGGCTAGAGAAAGCGATTTCCGTCGAACTCTGAGTTGCTGCGCCCGAAAACGAAGACAGTTTCACGACTGTTTCGTGTTGCAAATGGTTTCGAACGAGAAACGCCTATTGCGTGTTCTGTGTCAATGATTTATACGCGTCTGCAAACGTACACCGCCTTATAGACATATACCTGTTATTAGACAAACATGCAGTTAATTAATCCTATTTATTATAAAACATTCTGTAAATTTATTATTGATGTTATTCTCATTATAAAGTTTTGCCGATTACAATGCTTGTATGTATATACACTGTATCAAATAAATAAATGAATTAATTGAATACGATGATTGGTTCAACGATAATTTGGTACTGTATCTTAAATATTCGTCGTAATGCATTAATCTGTCTATTAAATACAAAGTATATGCAATATATGTATAATGAAATAAACATTTAATATATTATTTTTTCTCACTGATAGCTGAGAGGAAATATAACAACTTCTAATGAAGAGACCTTATGTACACCTTACTCCATCTATGAGAAAAAGGAAACTGTTGATTACCAACAGTAAATACAAACTTATATTGAACAAACAAAGTTGTTTATTTTATATGTATATGCCCAGTAAATCAAATAAGAATTGCATAGCATAATTCTTGCTTCCTTGCATGCATACTTACATAATTAAACGCACTTACAGTTTCAGAGGATCATATGATTTTCATAAAATTTTTTATTTTAATCCCAATAACATAAGCAATTATTATTCATATTTTCGTGTACACATAAATTAAAATGTCATTGTATGATAGACGATCGGAAGCAAGGATCGTGGAGAGTGGAGAACCATCTATTTTGTCGTCCGAAGCAAGCGAGCGGAAGTTGGCCCGCAAACTTCGAATTCAACGTCGTAAAGAAGCTCTAGAGAAGTATTTGCTTTTTAATTTTAATATGCATAACAATGCATGAGCGATAATACTTTATAATATGCGCATGGCAATTTTAACTAATGACGTTTTTATAACAGACAAATAAAAGCTCAAGATGAAGAGATTGAAGAAATAACTCCTATTGAACAGCAAATTCTTGACAGCGTAGAGACATTGGAAAAATTAACTGCAGAAGGAGATGAAGTCGTACGTGTAACTGAAATCATTGTGAAATAATATGAACGCAAGCTGTTTGAATATTTTTTTTATTATTCTCTTATTGCTGACTATTTTAACACTAGAATTACCGACTTCTTTTTATGTATGCATTTCTGCATTCAAAACCAGTTATTTTGACTGGTTTGGTAGTTCTACTGTGAAGAATGTCGTCGACTATCGTTCGAAAAGAAATTAAGAGTTCTAAATTGTATCGTCGATCATTCAGCAATAAAGATAATAAATCGACAGGTTGCAGGCGTCAGAGTGGCGAACGATGCAAAGGAATTGCAAAGGCGCAAGGAGATGCAGGAGAAAAGAGAGCAATTATTGGCGGTACTCGAAGAGGAGGACAAAAAGTCCATGGAAAAGTACCGTGAGATTACGGAAAAGTGGCCTTCTATACTTGCTTCCAACGACCCGATAGATATTCATGATGAATTGCAAGCTCAAAATGCTAAGTGCCTCGAAATCCTAGACAAAAAGGATGCTTTAATCGCGGAACTGAAGGAAGAGCTGCAGAAAGCCGATGTGCAGTATTCTGAAGATGTGAAAAAACAAAACGAAGATATTGATATACTTATCGAAAGAATGGAAAATCAGGTCAGTATTCTAGATATGAATTTTATACACTTTTTTTAATAACGAATACTGTAAATGCGATTTTTTTAAATCATTTTATGCAGATACAAACAATGACCAAAGCTTATCGCCATGAAGTGGATTTGATCGAAAGTGTTATCGAAACAGAACGTAAAATACTTTTAGAATCTTCTTTGGAAAAATGGAATACATTGTATAAGAAGCTTCAAGATGATACTTTCGAAGCAAGGGAGCAAAGGAAGGAAGTGATGCGTCAATATGAAGAACATATGGAGAAAGCGATTATAGAACATCAAGAGGAATTTCGTAAACAAAAGATTATGTTCGAGCTGGAAATACAGAATCTTCAGCAAGAAGTGCAAAATATGAAATCCTTCTGCATGATGAACGTTGAGAAACTTGATTACAATTACGCGGTGTTAAAACGACGTGAAGAAGAAAATATTATTGTAAAGAATGAACAGAAGAGGAGGATCAACAAGTTCGTGATTTAGAAACAATTATTTATCAACTTTAAAATTAAATGATTCCTTATTTTAGATTGCAGGATATTATTAATAACTTGAAACATACGTATGCACAATTGGAAGAATCGACTAGGATGGAAATTCAAAAGCTAACAAATCAAATTTTGAAATCGCACAGAGCTGTATTGGATTTAGAAGAGAAATCTAATTATCTCGCGACTATTAATGATAAGAAATATATGCAAGTTTGGGATATGAATATTACTGCCGCCAACGAATTATTTGATAAGGTAGTACACTGGTCAAGTGTAATTAATGAAAATGTGAGCCTTATTTGTGATGGTCATGTTGCAGATTTTAACGGCGGACAGAATCATACACGAACAATTGTTATTAATGGACTGGCAACCACCGACAGAACAATTGCTGAAAAAAGAAGATTTGCCCTCTTACTGTGGTACAATGTGTACCTTGAAAGCGGGTAAAATTTACTCAAGAAATGATGCTTGTATGTAGGCTCTACAACAAATCGATTAACTTTTTTATAAACGTTTTAAGAGAAAGAGAAAGCTAAGAAAAGAAGAACAATAACTAAATCATACAAATCGGCAAACAGTTTAGAAGAAATAAATTTAGAACGACGCTTACTGAATCATATTCTTAAACTGATTTCTGATGAATGTGATTACATCATTGAAGATACTTTGAAGAAACTGCTCGATGATTATACGGAAGAAAATAAGCTCGTGATACGACTGGACAAAATTTTCGAGGTGATCTTACTGAAATAAGTAATCCACCTATTCATAGCGTCGATAATAGATATAAACATGATTCGAATTCTAGGCATTCAAAATCACGTCTGAACAAGAACTTCAATTTTTATTGAACTTTTTTTTGCCTTACGCATACTGTCCTACTTGTGACATTAAAACTTTAAGTACACCCAGCGTTAGTGTCTGTGGAGCAACGGATTCCTCTACGTATGTGAGCATTCACATCGATATTAAAAGATCTATTGCTGTTCCAAAATGTTGGGAATAAATATTTTAGGAATAGTTTACCCGAAGTTTGTGGTAGTGATACATTTACTCCGAAACAAGTTAAGTTAGTAAAAGCTGTGGATACGGCACTTCGTAGCGAGAAGGTAACAGAAGCTATTGCGGAAAAAACTGGTGCAGAAGAGATCGATACAGAAGAAACTAAATCAGGAGAGGATACTTCATCTGAAACACCGAGTAAAAGCGACCAAGTTGCGACTACTTGTATAGAAGGAGGCATTATTGAAACTAAGAGTAATATATCAGTTTTTGGTTTATTTTATTATCCTGAGGTAACTACACGTTTATGAATTACCCTACAAGATTTTATTCTTACAGAGGATGATGAATCAAAGCGATTGTTAACATGCGACAAAGGCCACTTGTTGACAATTGGAACTGAATTTGTCTCAAGCGCATTAAAAGAGTTTATCGAAAGATACGAGTTTGTAAAGAAAGAAGAAACCAGTAAAAGGACAGTGAAGGAAAAACTCACTGTATCTCGCAATATAACTGACGAAGACATAATCAAATTTTGGGAACAATATCGTAATATTTTTTCACAAGACAGGGAGAGACTATGGGACAATTTACTAGTTGGTGTAAAAAAATATTACGAAGTGTTGAAAGAAAGAAGTCAATTAAATGCCGAAACAGAATTGTTACGGAAACAGAATGCAGAAATGCGACGTCTATTAAGCAGATCTGCAACAGAGGTAGTATGAGACAAGTAAAATATTTTACACTAACAACTTATAATTATGTTATGTGTATGTATTTAAATTTTAGTCAGACGTCATGCAATGGGCCGAGAAGGATATAGCATTTTGATCTTATAAGATAAATAAATGCTGCATATTGTTCTCACTTAAAACATTGTACGTATTTCATTAATCTTCATTTAGACATATATATACATTCATACAACATATCAGCACTTTTCTGCATTATTTCTAACATCAAAGACACCATTAATATATTTAAAACATACTTTTGACACAAGATCCATGCTTTGTACAGTTTATTTTTTGAATGCATCAGATACACAGTTGCATCCGACATGTCTGATCAGTTGTATTTCAATTACATATTTACATTGAATGCCAAAAAGTGATGCAAAGAGGAAGATATACATACATATATGTCAATGCAAAATAGAGCTTGAAGTGATTAGGAATCATGTATATGTATACGTATCTCAGTACTTCATTATGTGTGTGCTCTTATATTGTACACGAGTATCATCCCGTCAATCAAATTAAGTATCAAAACGACCTCTCCATTGAACTAACATATGATTTTTGAATCTCTCAAATTTCTTTTCGAGATTGATACATTCATATGTTTAAACAATTTACGTATTAAAATATATGTACCCATTCTGTTGTTTTAACTTCTTATGTCTGATTTGTGAAACCACCTGGGACAAAGTTATTTGACAGTGATTGAACTAAATTCTTACGATTGGCATCAGGTTTCGGCTTTCTCCCATATGGGAAGAACCTTTTCTTTTTTTGAGTTCTGATCTGTTTCAATTTGCCAGTATGTTTTTTTGAGGTCATATGCTGCAATAACACAAATTATATTATCATCAGCGTCATTTGTATTGGATGAAGTATCTTATGATGTATAACATACCACATTATATTGTGCTGGGGAATTGAAGATTTTGTTACACAGGTTGCACGAAAGTACGCCTTTAGGTGCGGAATGTTCCTGAACATTTGTGGTGGCTGTCTCGAGATTACCAACGTCACTGACATCCCACCCACCTAAGCATCAATGTGCGATCAACACTATCTATATATCACAACCGCAGAAGCGGTCAAATGTGATAATAAATCAGCTTGAACACTACATTCATGCTATGGAAAAAGCAACCCTTTAATAAAGTTTTTAACAAAAGACATCAGATTTTAGAGATGTATGCTTGCATGCATGTATGTATACATTTACCCTCTGCAAATAAATATTTAAAAGAATGTTCTTTTGTTGTTCCAAATGCGTAAAGCTTCTTTTTGCTTCGTCTACGTTAAATAATAATCAAGACAATACATGAGTAATAAAAGGAACGACATAGTCTTCAAAATGAGATGTTACAATTGATATAATTTTTGTGCGAAGAAGTTAGTGATTTATCTTAATCGCATAAAAGATACAAAACTGAAGATTACTCGATTTCATTTATTCGAGAATAGGAAGGATTTAGTTAAGATAACTTTATAATGTCATGCAACATACATATGTATATTACGCATTATTATAAGGAAATTGATGAAATTTAAAAGGA